ATAACAGTAACAGTGAGGTCTGCTCGTAGCAGGGCTTCATGTCTGGGCCTGTTGGTGCTTGCCTGAGCTCAGGGACCATCAGTTCTGTGATTTTATTGCCCCAAAATTCATCCAGGTGAAGCTCAAAGGATTGTTGTTATGTCAAGCCCAGGGTACAGCTTGCTTATTGGGCCTTTGCTGTGGAAAACAGGGTCTCTCCTGACACATTCATTAAGTACTTTTTATGTGCCAGGCACCGTGCCTGATGAAATGGTCACTGCCTTCAGTGTGCTTACATTCTGCTGGAGGACAGATACAAAATGTATATAAATATGTATGGTATAAGGAAGATTGAAGTGGGAGAGACCACCAATTTGGATATGGGAGGGATCAAGGAAGGCTTCATGGAGGAGGTGCCATCTTTTTGAGTCTTACAAGGGAACATAAGAATTCTGAGAGGTAGAGCTACAGAGTACATGTATTCCAGGAATAGAGAACATCTTATGTTAAATATTTTTGCATATATAGGTCCTTTTCCTTTTTGTTTTTTATCTTTTTGGGATGTAGACCTTAGTAGTGGTATTGCTTGGTCAATGGGTATGCATGCCTTTATAGTTCTTTGGGCATAGTTCTAAATTGCTCCTATCCTTTGACCATTTATCAGTTAGGGAATGGCTTTTATTTTTATAAATTTTACTCAGTTCTTTTTATATTTGAGAAATGAGGCCTTTATCAGAGAAACTTGCTATAAAAATTTTTTCATAGTTATGATTACTAACTATATTTTCTTCCATAATATTGTCTCCCACTGTTTATTGGACTTTCTCTCTCCTTTCACTCTGTCCATCCCCAGAAGCGTTTTGCTTCTGATTACTGCCTCCCCCAATCTGCCCTCCCTTCTATCAGCCCCACCCTACTCTTATCCTTTTCTCCTACTTTCTTGTAGAGTAAGATATATTTCTAGGCTCAGCTGTATATATATATTACTCCTTTTTTGAGACAGTTCTGATGAGAGTAATGGTCATGTGCTCCCCCCTTCATGTTGCCCATCCCTTCCACTGTAAAAGCTCTTTTGCTCCTCTTTTATGTGAGATAATTTAGCACCTGTTCTTCCTCTCCCTTTTCCCTTCTCTTAGTGCCTTCCTCTTTCTCACCCCTTAATTTTATTTTTTTATGTATCATTCCATCTTAATCAGCTCACACCTATCTTCTGTCTGTGCATACTCCTGGTCCTTCCCCTAATATTGAGAAAGTTTTTAGGAGTTACAAGTATCATCTTCCCTTATAGGAATGTAAACAGTTTAGCCTTATTGAATCCCTTATGATTTATCTTTCTTGTTTACCTTTTTATACTTCTCTCGAGTCTTGGAAAGTCAGATTTTCTATTCAGTTCTGATCTTTTCATCAAGAATGCTTGAAAGTCCTCTATATCATTGAATATCCATTTTTTTCCTCTGAAGTATTATACTCACTTTTGCTGGGCAGGTGATTTCTAGTTGTAATCCTAACTTCTTTGCCCTGTGGAATATCATATTCCAAGCCCTCTGATCCTTTGATGTAGAAACTGCTAAATCTTGTGTTATCTGACTGTGGCTCCATGATATTTGAATTGTTTCATTCTGGCTGCTTGCAGCATTTTCTTCTTGACCTGGGAGCTCTGTAATTTGGCTATAATATTCCTGGGAGTTTCCATTTTAAGATCTTTTTCAGGAAGTGATTAGTGTAGTCTTTGAATTTCTATTTTACCCTGTGGTTCTAGAATGTCGAGATGGTTTTCCTTGATAATTTTTTGAAAGATGATATCTAGGCTCTTTTTTTTTTTTTGAGCATGGATTTCAGGTAGTCCAATCATTCTTAAATTACCTCTCCTCTATCTGTGTTCCAGGTCAGTTATTTTCACAGTGAGATATTTCACATTTTCTTCTGTTTTTTCATTCTTTTGATTTTGTTTGATTATTTCTTGATGTCTCACAGAGTCAGTAGCTGCTTCTTGCTTAATTCTAATTTTTGTTTATTTCTTTTTCCATTTGGCCAATTCTACTTTTTAAGGAGTTCTTTTCAGTGAATTTTTGTACATCTTTTTTCCATTTTGATAATTCTTTTTTTGAAGGAGTTCTCTTCAGTGGGTTTTTGTGTCTCTTTTACCATTTGGCCTGGGGTGGAGTACCTGTGGCCTCAAGGCCCTATGTGGCCCTCTAGGCCCTCAAGTGTGGCCCTTTGACTGAATTCAAATTTCACAGAACAAATCCTCTTAATAAAAGGATGTGTTCTGTAAAACTTGAACTTAGTCAAAAGGCTGCACCCAAGGACCTAGAACGCCACATGTAGCCTCGAGGCTGCAGGGTCCCCACCCCTGATTTGTCCTATTCTGTTTTTTAAGGTGTTATTTTCTTCATTATTGGGAGAGGGTGGGAGTGTGTGTGTGTGGTGGGGGGGTTGGATGTCATGTGCGGGGAGTAGAACGAAACAAGTCTAGGAACGTAACCGGACTTGGAGAGCCTTAAATGCTAGACTGAGAAGTTTGTATTTTATCCCATAGACATTGAGATCAGACTGAAGATTTTTGAGAAGGGAAGTGACATTGCTGACAAAGAATTCAGGTGTCAATAAATCTGTTTTCTGTGTAAAATTACTTTTTTTTTTTAAAGGAACAGGGGTAAGTTAGCTAGAGCAGGGGAGATAATTTTAAAAAATCCTTTGATGGGAAGAAATGATATTGTTTTCTCTTTGATAAATGACATTTATAAGCTGGATGCAGCTTAAAGCAAAAAGTGTTTTCCTCAGTCTTCAAGGTCCTGGGATTGTTAAGTCCTAGGGCAAGCCAGGGTAGAGTTATATATAGCAGTTAAGTCTAGCAGCAAGAAAAAACACATTAAAGGATTTTAACCTCAAAGACAGAGACAATTAAGAATCTGCTGACACAGAAGGAAGGTCAAATTTAGATTATAGTGATTATTAAAAATTGAAGTTAAATTTAAGAAGTATCATCAGGTTGTATTTAGATATTTATAATTCTTTTAAGTGTGATTTGTATTATATGTTTATTTATGCCCTGCACTTATGGTTAGTGTTACTTTTGTAAGGGCAGCTAGGTGATGCAGTGGATAGAGTGGCAGGCCTGTAGTCAGAAATACTCCTTTTCCTGAATTCAGATCTGGCCTCAGACGCTTTACTAGCTGTATGACCCTAGGCAAACCCAGTTTGCCTCAGTTTCCTCATCTGTAAATTGATCTGGGGAAGGAAATGGCAAACCATTCCAGTATCTTGCCCAAAAAAACCCAAATGGGTCACAGAGAGTGGGACAAAACTGAAAAATGACTGAGCAACAACAACAAAAATTTTGTAAGCAGTTTTTTATCTGTCTTTATAGAAAAAGCAATTGACAGAATCCTGCACTGAATGCTCTGAGTCGTCGTCATCTACCTCTGAGAAAAAACTCAGCAATTTGGCTTGTACATTAAGGCCATATATCCTTCATTACCTAATGGCAGCCACCTGATCCACAGAAACTTAGACTTACAAACCCAAAGCTCTTAAGTGACAGTGGAATAATATCACTTCTGTTTCCGTATACTCTGAAAGCTCTTTTCTTCTAACTCCACATCTTTTGAGTTCATTCCTACCTGGCCTATGCTAGTAATGAAAACCACTTCCTTTCTCTGCTGGCTCTCCTAGTGCTCTGCCTGCCTTCTCTCTTGGCCACTTTTATAGTACCTTATGTATGATTTAGAACTGGAAGGAACCTTAAAGGTCATCTAGTTCAGAACCCTTCATTTTATAAGCAAGTAAACTATGGGCCATAGAAGTGGCTTGTCCAGGGTCACATAGCTAGTGAGCAGCAGGACCAAGACCGGAACATAAAGTCTGTTTTCAAATTCAGTCCATTTTCTATTGAAAGATGTGCTTTAAAATGGATAGTGGCAGCTACTACATATAGACCTGGATTTTAATGGTACTTAGAAAAAACTTTTTAAAGGGACATTAAGTAAGTAACTTCTATCATATGAAAGCAAATGGTCAGAGTATAAATTCTCAAGCTGGGAGAGACCTTTGAGATCATCTAGTTAGATTCCCTCATCTTACAAATGACTTCAGATGAAGACCCTAAGATATAGAGTTAGCATGCGACTTGCTAAAGTTTATGTAGCCAATAAAGAGCATCACCAAAATTTGAACCAATGCTTTCTGCCCCTAAATTCAGTATTCTTCATACTGTGCTAGGGTTCTTAACCTTGTATGTATTATGGACAACTTCAGTGGTCAGATGAAGCCTATAGACTATTCTCAGAATAACATTTAAAATGCATATATTGAAGTATGTAGGATTATTAAAGGAAGCTAGTTTTGTTGAAATAAAGATGTAAATTTTTTTCCTATCTAAGTTTATAGATTTCCTGAAATTTATCCATGGATCCCATGAGGTGAAGGGCAGGAATCTGTGGACCACAGGTTAAGATTCCCTGCGTTACGTCAACTTCCCATTTTGTTCCCTTGTTTATAAGCTATCAAAAGTTATATTTTCAAAAGTTATCTTAGATATTAGTTTCAATTTTATGATCTTATTTCTTTATTAGCTTAGGAATAGATGCTTAGGAACCTACTATGTGCCAAGTACTTCTTCATTTCTATAAGACAGCAGGAGAAATTTACATTATCTGTTTATTTTTTTCAGGTCCTAAGATCAGAACTGAGAAAAGGCTATCCGCTCGTAATCAGGAGATTTCCAAAGAAATAGAATCAGAGGGGAGGACGTTGGAAAGTTCCCAAGGTCTTTCATTTAGAGAAAGCTGTGACTCAGAAGGCAGTTCGGAGAGACAGAAGGAAAGTTCCTCAGGGAATAGCTTAAGAAAATGTCCTTTCCAAGAGAAACATTTCAGGAAAGTGAGCACCCCTCACCCAAAAAAACTCAGAGAAAAGAGGGCACAAGAATATAATGAATTTAGGAGAAACTTTAGGCTGAACTCCAATTTTTTTGCACAGCAAAGAGAGCTTGCAGAAGAAAGGTCCCATAAATGTGATACTTGTGGCAAAAGCTTCAAATACAATTCAGACTTTATTCTCCATCGGAGAATTCATACTGGAGAGAAACCTTTTGAATGCAGTGAATGTGGAAAAACTTTTGGGTTCAACTCTCACCTTATTGAGCATCAGAAAATTCATACAGGAGAGAAACCTTACAAATGTAATGAATGTGGGAAAGATTTCCGTCGGCGTTCACAACTTATGTTACATCAGAGAATTCATACTGGAGAAAAACCCTATGGATGTAAAGAATGTGGCAGAGCTTTTAGTCAGAGCTCACAGCTTACATTACATCAACGAATCCATACTGGAGAGAAACCCCATAAATGTAGAGAATGTGGCAAAGCCTTCAGTAGGAGCTCAACCCTTATTAAACATCAAAGAGTTCACACCGGGGAGAAGCCCTACAAATGTAATGAATGTGGTAAAGCTTTCAGTCAGAGTTCACATCTTATTCTACACCAGAGAACTCATACTGGTGAGAAACCTCATAAATGTCATATTTGTGGGAAAGCCTTCAGTCGAAGTTCACACCTTAGAGAACATCAAAGAATTCATACTGGAGAGAAACCATATAAATGTAATATATGTGAGAAATCCTTCAGTCAGAGTTCAAACTTTTTTCAACATCAATTAATTCATACTGGAGCGAAACCCTATAGATGTAATAAATGTGGGAAAGGATTTAACCGTAGTTCACACCTAAATGAACACCTGAGAATTCACACTGGGGAGACAGCTCATCAGTATAATGAAAATGGGAATGTCTTAGACAGTTCAGGCCTTTTAAAACATCGAGTTAATGGTGGAGAGAAACTTCATGAATGTAATGAATGTGGGAAAGCCTTCAGTTGGAGCTCACATCTTATCCTACATCAGAGAATTCATACTGGAGAGAAACCCTATGAGTGTCTTGAATGTGGAAAAGTCTTTAGTCAGAGTTCTCATCTTATTTTACATCAGCGAATTCATACCGGAGAAAAACCCCATGAGTGTAATGCCTGTGGGAAGGCTTTCATTCATAGCTCAAGCCTTATTCAACATCAAAGAGTTCATACGGGACAGAGACCATATGAATGCAATGAATGTGGAAAAGCTTTTAGTCGGAGCTCAACTCTCATTCAACATCAAATAATTCATACTGGGGAGAAAATATATGGATGTAATGAATGTGGGAAAACCTTCACGTGGAGCTCAAACTTGAGGAAACACCAGAGAATTCATACCAGATCATAAGCTGGTAGATATAATGGAAAAGGAAGAACACAGCATAGATATTTAACATAGTAAAGGCTAGTCAACTTAGTTATAGGGTTTTTTTTTTGAGGAGGGCGCAGTAAGACAAAAGGGGGTAGGTCTTTGAGTACTAAGTACAGGTCCAGCTGTGGATCAACATCCCCCACTTGTCCACTTGATTCAAGCCAATCTACTTCAACTTCTTAGCACAAGGTCTGCTAATTCCTACCTCTGTGCATTTTTACTTATCTTCGTGTTTTTTTATGTCATTGCCCTTCACCACTTTCAAGATCTTTTTGAAAATCCCCTCTCCAGGAAGCCTCCCACTTCCAACTCTAATCATAAATCCATGATAGGCCGTTTTGTATTTCTATATTAATGTTGTGGTATATTATTTTCTACTTAGTTTATGCACTGGAAAGAGTATGGGCTAAAAATCAGGAGACCTGGACTTTAGCCCCAGCCTTGATTCTACTAACTGTTTGACATGAAGCAAATAGTTTTTCCTCTGGAGCCTCATTTTCTTGGTAAATTGAGGGTATTGGCCTCATTTGTTTCTGTGTTTGATATTCTGTGATTCCGTATATTGGTTTTTATTTGCCTTCTAACTAAATCATGTGAGATTTTTTTAATCTCAATTGTACTTTAAACTTATATTAATATTGTGTTTTGCATTCATTAGATACTTAATAATGTTCATTTGATATCTACCATCAGTCTTCTCCACTTAGCTCTGGCATAATTCCTGTTGTTTTTAATGCTATTTAGCATACATAGGATGCCCATTGATACAGGAATAGTTGTTGAGCTCATATTTTTATAGAATCATAGATATGGAGATGGAAGGGGACCTTCAAGGCCATCTGATCCAACCCTCATTTTACAGATGAAGAAACTGGAGCTTATAGAGGTTTTCATTCATTCAATAAACATTTTTAAGTGCTTGAGGCAAAAGATAGTCCCTGCCTTCAAGGAATTTACAATCTAAATGACTTGCCTATTAACTACAGAGTTAGTAATTGTCATAGTCATGACTTGAACCCAGATTTTTCTCATTCCAACTCCAGCATTCTATTCACTATACCATGCTGCCTCATAATTGGTTTGGGATTTGTTTTGCTAGTGACTTAAGCCCCTTCTAGCATTTCTGGAGAAAGCCCACTTGCTAGATTACCAGAGAGGGAAGGGAGAAGTAACTTCATAGGATCATAGAGTTGGAACTAGAAGGGACTTAAGAAGCCTTATTCAACCCTCTTATTTTAGAGATGAGGAAACTGAGGCTCAGAGAAATAAGTGACCTGCCCAAGATCACACAGGTAGTAATTGTCATGAGAGGTGGAATTTGAGTTCAGGTATTCTTTTTTATCCCTGTACCATGCTGACCAGGTGTGGCTCAGGGAATTCCCAGTCTGGGGGGAAAGAAGAAAAGGGACAATTCACCAGCATCCCCAAGAAGGCAGGCTGTGTTAGTAAATACAGGATGCAGAGGGAAAAGAGTGGATGGGGTAGGGATGGACAAACTCAGTTACCCAGTGATAAAGAATTCTTTCTCAATCTTCTCTGTCCACTGTAAACAAACACTCATTGAAATATCCTTGCATTTAGGTTCCCCACTTAAGAATGAGGGAGCAAAAAGCAGGAACTAGGGAGAATCATCTTGGTGAAGTCAATGGAAAGGATTCGGACAAGAAAACCTGCTGCAGGGGCAAGGAAGCTATTGTGTTCCAGGAAGCTGCCATACCAAGGGCCAACCTTAGGCTGCAGGGACATCTGGCCTTTGTGAAGGACGTTGGTCAAGATGTTAGAGGAACCCCCCCCCCACCACACACACACACTTTCAAATTCATATCACCTGATATTAAATCCAAGTAATAGGGAGGCTTATTCCATATTCTTGGTGACTGCTCCAGTGCTTGGTACTGAGCACAGGTTTTCTCTGTATGCTGTATGTATGTGTAATAAATGTTTGCTTGAATTGGGGCCTTTTTTTTCTCCCCCAGGGCAGGTGGGAAAGAATGAGGGATGGCCCCCGTCTTCTGAGTCTCTTAGCACGAGGAGGGAAGTGTTTGATTTTCAGGTTTTATGAGCTCTCCTGAATTAGATTTCTTTTTCATACCATTTCTTAGATCCTGCATTTCTTAGGCAACAGAATTTTTGGTTCTGCTGTATGCTGATTGCTAGGCAAACTAAAGTTTGCTACACCATTGGAAGGCCACCTAGTTCCCCACAAAAACTATACTCATGTTATTCTTAATGTTGGTTGTCTGTTCCTGACGACCCATCTGGAAGGATAGCAAGAGATACACAGTTTTGTTACTTTTATTCTTTGGGTCTGTTTTCTGCTGTTTGTCACGTTTTTTTTTAAACTAGGCAATGGGGTTAAGTGGCTTGCCCAGGGTCACACAGCTATTAAGTGTGAAGTGTCTGAGGCTGCATTTGAATTCAGTTCCTCCTGACTCCAGGGCTGGTGCTGTGCCACCTAGCTGCCCCCTCACATTCTCAATTGTGAAACAAAGTTGGCCATGGCTACAGTATCTCTTGACTATGGTTATAAAAGTTGACTGAAACAATAGGAAGCACTCCTCATTATGCTGGCTTCACTTGCCAGCCAGGAATTTCAAACCAGTATAGAGAGGAGCTTTTTTAAGAGAAGTATGTGAGTCTTCCTCTTCTGGGTTTTTTTCTTTTTTGATGCCCCAAGGAGCTTACATTCCACTTGGGCAAAACAACATGTATACATGTAAGTGAATACAAAATATGTACAAACTAATTTTGGAATGAAGGGTAGCATTAATTGAGGAAGTTAGGAAGGACTTCTTTGAAGAGGAGGAATTTAGCTAAGCAGTGAATGGATCTAGGGGGTCCAAGAGGGGGGGCTGAGCAGGGAGTGCAGTTGCTACGAGGGACAGCCTCTGTGTAAAGAGATGGGAAGTACACGTAACTGCAAGTAGCCTAGTTTGGCTGGATCGTTGAGTAGCTTATCTATGTTGGTGGAGGGAGATTCCATCCTAAGATTTTGCCACATCAGCAATATTACGGGTCCAGACAAATACCTGTGTGTGTGTAGTTCGGTCAGGCTTATGAAGCTCCTTACTCTTTGCAACTCGGGGGTAATTATTGCTAGCATTTATGTAGTGTTTTAAGTTTGCAAATTGCTTTACAGATATTTTATCTTCACAACGACTCTGGGGAGTGGATGCTATTGTTATCCTTATTTTACAGATGAGGATACTGAAGCAGATTGCAATGAAGTGACTTGCCTTGTCACAGAGCTAGTAAGTAGCTGAGGACAGATGTGTACTCAGATCTTCCTAACTTCAGGTCCCAAACTCTATCCACCTAGATTCCTAGGTAGGTAATATAAGTATTATCCCTGTTTGACTGATGGGGAAAGTAAGGCACAGAGAGATTAAAGTCATTGCCTATCACAGAGCTACTATCAGAGACAGAGTTTGAACACAGATCTCAACTCTGATGTCAGCACATGTACCATATACCATCTGTGTGTGATTTCTAGTAGTATCGGACCTGAGATGAATTAGCTTGCCTAATTCTTTTGCCTCTAGTTTTGGGGGAGAAAACTTAATTTTTAATAGTTTAAGTCAATAATACTTGGTGTCATTTTCTGACTTGTTACATTGCATACATTTATTATCTAGACATAACTAGATCAAAGTTCACTTCCTTCTATTGTCTTGTTTTTATCTTTGGATTCTGTGGGTATGGATCATCCTATGTATTTTTTCTTAGGACATTCATTTATGCATTTTTTAATTGATTTTAATTATAAAAAATTTTAATTTTAAGCAATTTAAAAATTAGTAGATTTAAATTAATGAATTAGGATTTACAGCTAGTTTTCAGTTGATTATTTATGTGACACGCATGGTTGCCCATAGCCAGGCTTCTGCATCTATAAGAATGTATGTCTAAAATAACATCCAGCTGTTTGACAGTTCACAAGGGAGCCCAAGAATGCTCCTCATCTTTTCCCCATCTAACATACTCCCTTCACAAGATAGAAGAGATGCAGGACAATAGTTAGTGGGGATGGAGGGATCAAGTGAGTTTTGAGGATAGGGCTGACATGAGCCTGTTTATAGGCAGTAGAGGAGCCGATAGATGGGGAGAGACTGAAGATAAGTGAGTGGGGGTGACACAGGAGGTAATGGAGGAGAGGGGATGGAATGGAATTGCTTTTGCAATTTTTTGGCAGAGGGGTGGGTCTTGGTAAGGAGTAAGGCTGCCTCTGTGAGATACGTGTGAAGGAGAGCATAGTGGCAGAAAGCATGAGTGATATGAGATGAGGAAGAGGGAACTTGCCATCAATGGCTTCAATTTTTTTTTTTTTGGTATAATGCAGCAAACTTTGCTACTGAGAGGGTAGGGGAGGAGGAGCCATTGGAAGTTTGAGGAGGGATGAAAAAGTTTAGAATAGATACTGAGAAGAGTAGGATAGAGAGTTGATAAGAGAGGTGTAGGATTGCTTAGCAGTTGTAATTAAATTCGGTAGCAAGAGGGCAATTGAAATTGTGTAACATAAGTTTGTAGGGGACCCAGTTAGAATGGCTTTGTGATTTTCTCCACTTAACTTTCAGCAGTGTGTGTGTGGGAGTGAAGAAAGTGGATGGTGGTTGTCACCCAAGGCTGAGGCTTGGCAAGGTATTGCTGGTGATATGAGAAGGGAACCAGGGGCTCAAGAGAAGACGATGTAGAGTTGAATTGGTTCACCAAGGGGTCAAGGTGGGGAGAAGAGCAGAGAGTTGCTTGTGCAGAAGCTATGGCCTAGGAGAGAGCTGAGGGATCTAGAGATTGGAGGTCACCATGAGGGTAAGGAGTAGGGTTTTGTGAGAAAAAGCAGAGGGGGAAGTGGAAAGCTAATAGATTATGGTCAGATAAGGGGATTTTGGAATTCTTGAACATGTTAGTGGTATGGTACATTTGTGGGCAAAGACAAGATCAAGTGTATAACCATCTTTGTGTGTGGCTGAAATGGGGTGGAGTAGTACGTAATGGTAAATGAATAGGTTGAGAAACTGAGCAGTTAAGGTATTTAGAGGAGAATCAATATGTAAGTCCTCCAGTAGGAAGGTACGAATTGGAGAGGAGAGAGAAATTGTGAGCCAGGTATTAGAATTGTTGAGGAAGTAAGAGGAGTGACTTGGAGGTCTGTTGACAATAGCTACTAGGGTTTTTATTGAGTGGTAGATATGAATAGCATGGACCTCAAAGGAGGAGAGGTTACTGAGTGAAGGTGGCAGGGGGAAAATGTGGAACTGGTTGTGAGGATCAAGGAGAATTTGACTGATAAGCTAAGGAGAATGAGACCACAACCAGTACTGGAAAGGGTAGTTAAGGATGCTGTGTCATTGCGGGGAGTCACGTTTCAGTGATTGCTAGAAGATGGAAGGAAAGGGACAGGAAAAGATTTAATATGAATGTAAATTTGTTACTTATGGGACAGGCATTCCAGAGGGCACAGAGGAAGGGTGGATGGTGTTTGGTTGGGACTTTGGGGTGAGAGAGTTGAGGGGGATGGGAATAAGGAATCAGGTGGAGGAGGGAGATTGGGGTTTGGATGATAATTTATAGAGGTTCATAATTACTGGGATGTGTCAGGTATGACCAGTTGTGAGAATGCTCATCTTTGATAA